ACGAAATTGTTGCCTTGCCCTTCCATCCCTGACATTGCGCGCCCGAAAACCAAATAAGCGCGGAATTGGTTTACATATCCGAACTCGGTGTTTAGTGTTCGTCAGCCCCGTGGTTGTTGAAGACGGTTGTTTAGGGGTCGAAAGAAGAACGCGTGTAAACGGGCTCTGATTACCAAGTGTGAGGATCGAGGATCGAGCTCAGAAAAGTGGGTTTGAAATTATTGATCCACCTAACACGAGTCTTTATACAGTCTCGACACAAGGCAGGTAACTCAGGTGTTACGCGAATGTTCTGAGGGTCACAAAGCATCCCGAACAGAACCTTCCCGAACTCAGTAGAAAGCAATTCGGTGGCAACCGAAAAGGCTTAAGTTTGGTACACATACCTTGGTTCGGTGCTATAACTATAATAAAATATAGGAATGCACCTAACCTAGGAAATCAAACATATCTATGCATGATAAGTAAATCCTAAGCTAGAAATAGCATAATGAAGTCCAGGCAAGCTAGCAATGTTAAGAGTTATAACGTTATGTGGAAGCGTTTAAACTGGTATTACAAACTTGTACTCGGCAACACTTAACATCACTTGCAGCCCTTCGAGCGTGACAGCTTGTCACCTCCTAGCCAAGGGCGTAGAAAAATTGCAAGCGAGTAGTTATGCCTTTCTCAGCCTGTAATCCAAGTAAGCTGGTCGAGCAGAGTTTCGGCAGCACCACGGTAGCGATTCTACTCTCGTCAATACGTAGTAGTAGAAAATGAACTTGAAAGGCGAAATAAAAAATAGTTGTTGTTTGAACAATTACAAGCACAAATTTATATAAAATCCTACGTACACACAAAAGGTAAGCATAAACGTAGCTGCAGAACAAGGTCTTGATTTTTGCCACGCTGTAATAGAAAACGGTTGCATAATTTCTTAGGATGTCTTTTTTCTTCTCTTGTAACACAAGGCAATTCCATTGCTGACTCCTCACATGAACATTTGCGGTTTCATGTGGCTCCCATATGGCTTCCATAAGCCTCACATGAAGTTCATGCGAGTTTACAGCTGTAAAACGGTTTTAACCGTTTAATGACGTAAACAACCGAATTGTATCTGTGGCAAAATCATTCTTTTATGCGGCGTAACATTCGTGCACAATTTCTTGTTCCGCGAGTCAACGGGGGGATTCTGTTTTTCAACGGAAATCCCACACGTCCCCACCTGCCACACGCCACGACCGAGATTTTTCTCGGTCGTGCTGTACAACGCGCATGATTGCGATCATGTGCGTGTACAGTGCGCGGGACAGGGCCGAAACGTGCCCTGTCTTGTTGCGATCGTGCTGTAGAGCACTGTCGCAACAGTGCGTGGCACACGCGCATGCCCTGTGGGGCCTCACGCGCGTGCCAGGACCCCACATGCGGTCCTGATTTCGTACCCTTTGACTCGCGCCAGAAGAGTCAAACGGCACCCCCTCGATAGTCAAACTATCGAGCCCCCTGGTACACCGCTCGCTCGCATGGAACCCCAATGAGCCTCGCATGAAACATTCGAATTTCATGAGACTTTCATGTGTCGCTCGCATGAACCTCGGATGAAACATTTAAGTCTCATGCGAGCTTCGTTTGAGCTCCATGGGGTCTTCATTTGAGCACTTCATGGAAGGCTCATTTGAGCGCTTCATGAGAGCTTTATTTGAGCGCGTCATGAGAGCTTCATTTGAGCGCGTCATGATAGCTTCGTTTGAGCGCGTCATGAGAGCTTCATTTGAGCGCGTCATGAGAGCTTCATTTGAGCGCGTCATGAGAGCTTCATTTGAGCGCGTCATGAGAGCCTCATGAGAACAGTGAAAACGAAACTGAAAACTCACAAGTACAAAATGCAATTACGAATGAAAACGAAGCACACAAAATGCAAGAACAAATGCGCACAAAACATCACAAAATGAAAATGAAAATGCGAACACACGCAAAATGCAAATGCGACGCAGGCGGCTGGTTGACGTGCAAAATTAAATATTTGCACCCAACAAGCAAAGCCGTTGTACTCTCACACTATACCTTGTTCCAATGCGTGTGCCTCAAGTGGAGAGGTTATATGGGGATGAAGCTGAGGAAGCCGCTTGTAGCACCCGTTGGAGGGACGTGGAGTAGGTGACGGCAGATTTGCTGCACCTACGCATGGGGCATGCGGGGAGGCAACAGCTTGTAGAGTGTGTGAAGAAGGAGGAGCTGAAGGGTGTGGAGATCAAGGAGGGTGGTGGGCAGCCAAGCAAGTGCCTTGATTGTACGACTGGGAAGCTTCCAAGGACATCTTTCTCTACCTCCACCAATAGAGCATCCGCACCTCTTGAATTGATGCGTGCGGATGTGTATGGCCCCGTGCAACACCGGATAAGGAGAAGGACAACAAGTATTTCATCACCTTCCTGGATGTCTACAGCCGCCTTAGTTGGATCACCTTGATGAAAACCAAGGATGAGGTGGCCAAGGCGTTCAAGCGTTAGGTACGCTATGCGGGCCAAGTTGAAGATACCAAGGTCTGATCGGGGTGGGGAGTACATGGGAAAGGACATGGAAACCTGAAGATAAGTTCATTTTCCTTGGGTTGTCGGGGAGGAGCAAGGCTTGGATGTTGTGGAGTGTGGCAGATCAGCGAGTAGTGGAAAGCAGGGATGTGGTCTTCCACGAGGTGCTGAGCTACAAGGGTTGGAAGGAGCATGGTGCTAGTATGGTTGGGAGTTCTCTCCAGGATCCCTACACCTCGTGTATCTTTGAGGGAGCATGGGAGGACCCTGGAGAGGAGGTAAATGAGCAGCAAGAGGAAAAAAAGGCAGCTGCACATCACCATGAGGATTCCCCAACTGCTGGTTCCACCCCTGACACTAACAAACCAGCCCATGACCCGCAGCAGCCTCAAGGGCAGCAGTAGCAAAAACAAGAGAAGCCGCAACAACCACCTGATCAGCATACACCGCCTGTTCCTATGGGTAGGTGGCAGCAACTAGTGCAGCAGTAGTTGTCCAAGTCACCACGGTCCCCCATGACGAGATAGATTTGGAAGGAGAAGAGGGAGGCATCACCACTGCGCTGCACCAGACGCATCTCCCGGCCAGCTGAAAGTTTCACACCAAGTGCACAGTATGCTTGGATGCATGATCATGAGGAGCATGATTGGGAGGAGTGCATGCTTGTAGATGCTGATGAGGGTGACTATGGATTTTTTTTTCTCTTATGGGTCAAGTGCATGAGCCTAAGTCAGTCAAGGAGGCCTTGTCCCGTCCTGAGTGGGTCGAGTCCATGCGTGAGGAGCTTGTGTCCCATAGGATGAATGAGTCCTTTGAGCTGGTTGATCTAGCTTGTGTGCCACCTGGAATGGAGGTTTTGAGGTGTCAGTGGGTGTGGAAGTACAAGCACAAGGCTGATGGCAGTATTGAGAGGCCTAGGTCCAGGTTGGTGGCCATGGGGAACACTCAAACACGGTGTGTTCACTATGGCCAGATGTTTACCACGGTGAGTAAGCCTAGTACCCTAAGAGGCTCCCTTGGGATGGCAGCATCATTAGGTTTCACATCCATCATATGGATGTGACCACTACCTATGTTCATGGGGCTTTACATGATGCAGCCACCTGGTTTTGATGATGGGTCCAGCAGAGTTTGCCGACTCAGAAAATCAATTTATGGGCCGAAGCAAGCTCCAAGGCAGTGATACCTCAAGTTTGATGAGGCACTGATGGGTTTTGGTTTTGAGAGGTCGGAGTGTGACCCCGCCTTGTACCACTTGGTGAGGCAGCTGTCCCTATACCTCTACGTGGATAACATTTTGCTCTTGTCTTCGAGCATGGTCTTGTTGGACGAGGTCAGGGGTCTTTTTTCCTCTTGTTTCCACATAAAGGACTTGGGGGGGGCTAAGTTGTTAGAGATTAAGGACCGAGTCTAAGAAGATTAGGGGCCGAAGTATCACAAAATCGTTGGTCTCAATTTCCAGACAGAGAAGTCTTCATCACAAGAAACGCCGTCGACGAAAAACGCACCGTTAGAACTCTCTCAAACTCAATATGTTGTAGCCCTTGACTAAGGCTATCTTTCCCAATTTGAATCGTATCAAAACATGGAGTATATCTCGAGTTATCAATTTTGGCGCACTAGGGGGTATTCTGCCACGGAAACTTAACTCAACCACAATTATCTCATAAGTTGCACACAAGAGAGTTGGAGTACCAATTAACCAGGTAGGAGGGGATGAGGAGGACGAGAGAGAAGGTCCCAAGGGAGTCCCCAACCAAGGAAACCCCATACCACACAGTTCCCCTCTCTATAGCAACCACACTTTGACTTTTGTCACTTTCCCAACCTCCACAATCCACCTCACCCAAGTTGGCCACACTTGCCAACCCAATTTGGTTTCTCCCAACCACTTGGCAGCATCTACAGTGATGTGGACGAATTTCCCAACCCCCAGAATTCTGCACCCCATACAGAGTCAACCCCATACTTCCCATAGTCGCCGCAACCAAATATGAAAAGCATACGAACTCCAACGTTCGTAACTTTCTTGGTCGTGCTCCGATCGCGACGATTCTTGGTTCGTCGGAAAGCTCTCGAGCACAGAAGTCATTTCAGATATCTGCTCAAGTCAAATGACATTCACACACACTCAGAAAATCCAAACCACACAAAATACAAATTCTTGCACACGCTCACACCACGCATGCAATGCACGAACATATGATGGGAGGCAGACAGACGTGAATGCGAATGATAGCATCACACAACATAAGTACCATTTGGGGGTGCAGATTTAGCGTGATGAGAGTGGCATCTTGATTCATCAAGAGTGGTACATTCTCAACATGCTTGAGCCATTTAGCCTTTCTAACGCAACCCCGTGCGTACGCCTCGCCCTACAGGCGTGCATGCACATGTTGAGGAACCATCTGATAATGAGTTGGTTCAGTTCTCTCAAAACATTGTGGGGTCCTTCATTTATGCGAGCACGACCAGAGTGGCTTGTCAATGAGAGTGGGCAGCGGCGTTTAAAGAAGCTACAAGTAGTTGCTGCTGCTGCACGTACGGCTCCTTGTGCACGGCTGATCTTGCACGCACAGCTCCTACTCTGGAGGCAGTTGCGCGTGCGCGCCCAGCTGCCGCCGCGCGCGTCTGCTCATGCGCGACATCGTGCGTGCTGCTGTGCGCGCTGGCGGCTGGGCAGGGTGCAGGACAGGACGGGGCGCAGGCGGACAAGACGTACAGCGGCAATTTAAGGGCGCGTGTCGGCGAGTTAAGGGCGCGCAGCGGCGGTTTTAGCACACGCTGCGCATGCCGTGCCTGCGCGTGTTGCCGTGCGTGCGCGAGGTCCTGCTGGGCGAGCGGCGCTGCTATGCGCGTGCGCGCGGGTCCCTTAACGCGAGTAGCGTGGGGAGCATAGGCAGCGGGGCCGCAGGTAACAATACGTTTTAGGTTGACGTGGCGTAACGGGGCAAGACGGGCCGAAATGGGGCTAAGGGTACATTCCTGTGTCGACATTTATGTCTCAATCCCCTTTTTCCCGAGTCGCGTCGAAACATTTTGTCAATCTCACGTCACAAAAAAATGAATGTATCGCGAAACTAGGCGACCACGTGAAATGCATAGTTGGGGGCATCTGATTGGGTGACACAAATTGCTGTACACCCGTTTCTTCAGCCGCTTGGCTGGGGTGTGGTTTCGACGTGCGGGATTTAAATCTGCGCGAAATTGGCATCTCGGGCAGACCAGGTGCATTGACATTTCGAACCGCGTGCGATTTTTTAACAATGACGGGTCAGTTTACAATTCGTCAGCGCATTTCACGCTGACCAATAAAAAATACAGTAATGGTTGCTAAAAGGCTACTCGCGTTTGAGACATTTTACATTATATGTTGTTTTTACACGTCAAAGATTTGAGACACAAATGTCGACGCAGGAATGTACCGTAAAACATAGGACCTACCTAGCTGCTACCATCGTATAAACAATCAACTCTATAGTATTAGGGTACATTCCTGTGTGGACACTTGTGTCTCAATGCCCGTTTTCCCGAGTCGCGTCGAAAAATTTGGGCATTCTCGCGTCACAAAAAAGGAATACTACGCGACCAGGCGAAATGTGACACGAAGTTCTGCGCCTTTGATTGGGTGACACGAATGACTGTACACCCATTTTCTCAACCGATTGGCTGGGGTGAGGTTTCGACGCGCGGGATTGTTTTCCCGCGCGAAATTGGCATTGGGCGCTGTCCAGGTGCATTGACATTGCGAACCGCGTGCGATTTCAAAAAAATGACGAGTCAATTTGCAACTCGTCAGCGACGTCAGCGCATTTCACGCTGACCAATGAAAAATACAGTACTGGTCGCTGAAAGGCGACTCGTATTTGGGACACTACAGTTTATGTTGTTTTTGGGTGTCACAAAGCGTTTGAGACACAAGTGTCCACACAGGAATGTACCCTTAGGATGGTTAGGCGGGGAAAGGATGAACTAGGTAAGGGTGAGGGAGTACAAGAACATTGTCGAGGGTTTCACATGTACCCCCTAAGATGCAACTCACTACAGCCTACCTAAAATATATAAACATATATGACATACTATACTAAACTAGTGTACTAGAACGCATAGTTTTATGTCTGGAAGACATATTGCCGTACTAGACAGAAGATCCTTGGGTTCCTGCAGCTTCAGCCATTGCAATCGCCTCATCGAACGAGTAACGTATATGTTCAACACGCTGAAGAATCGAGTCAACTGACTCCCCATTTCCACCCACGCCAGACCCGAAGAGCCTCGTATACAAGTCAGACAGTCTGACAACAATCTGGTCCATGTGGGGACGGCTTGATACAGGCATGCTTGTGCACTGCAGGGCCAGCTGTGTCAGTTGAAGAATGACATCAGGCGGAGCATCAAGGCATGGGTCTTTGAGGGTTTCAGCATCCAATGCTGCCAGCAGCGGCTCCGTCTGCAAGGGCATGCAAAAAAAAAGCAACAACTAGTTGAAATTATGTCGTCTTATGGGCTATTACTGAGGGGCGGGGAACACAAAAAAAAAAAAAAAAAAAAAAAAAAAAATGGAGGGAAGAAAAACAAGGTTGACGCAAATGGGGGGAAAAGTTCTCGGATTGACGCGCCCAAGGCTAGTGCAAAGTTCACAGATTACCCATTGCCTGATGTTGATGTTGTGGTCTCCCTCCCGCAGGATTGCCCTCTGGGATGTGAAGAGTTCCAACATGACTATGCCATAGCTGCTCATGCCACACAGTATGCACACCCCATTCCCACCAATGCCACACACAGCATGCATACATGTCAACATGCCAGTGGATGCACAACATTGACACAAGATGCGGTGCTACAAAGAGAGCGGAAGGTGCAGCATGGGTTGCATAGGCTGGTGAGGTGCATGTTTCAGCCCTCATATGGCAGCATGGAAAGGCACGAAGTTGAAAACGCATCATCAAGCAGAACATCGTGGTCGACACAGCAGAAAGACCCAATGGACAGGGCGCAGCATGGACTTAAGATCCATCCACCAGAAAGACCCACAGTGCTTACCAGCCAGCACCACCTAAGCACCACTTATATGGCACTCAAATATAGGAGTCTACGAGATTTGCACTCAGTGGTACCAGCACAGCACACCATCAACCACCGTACGCCGGCCATCAGCGTTCCACGAGACACGGTGGCAGCAGGTGCGGCCCACCTGTAGACGTCGTTGGAGGGGGCGGCTTTGCGCGACTTGGAGTATGCGGGGTCCACATAGCCCGGTGTTCCCAGAATGCGCGTCGTGTCACCCGTGCTCTCATTGCCCATCCTCACCAGCCCAAAGTCCGCCACATTGGCCTGCCACGTTGCCGTGCATGGAGGGCACAGGCGTGGTGGAAGAATGCAGTGTGGAACGAAGAGGAAGGAGAGGCAGATGGAAGGCTACTTACCCTACAGGAGGAGTCACTTGTACAGAAGATTAACGAATGTACATGAGATAATCAGCACGGATAGACCAGAACAACGATCCATAATAGACATTGCCTGGGTGATTTGTCGTTGTGTTCGCGCATGTATGTGCGGCGCGCGTGGGTGCATTTGGCATGTGTGTGTGCTGACCGATATATAGGCATAGGTGTGTGTGCTGACCGTCATGTGGGCATCGAGCAGGATGTTGGCGGGTTTGATGTCGCGGTGCACGATGCCAAAGCTGTGCAGGTACTGCAGCCCACGCGCCACTCCCAACAGCACTTGCACGCGCGCGCCCGTGTGGCGCCTGGGAGTGTGTGAGTGATGGGCGAAGGGGAAGGGAGAGGCACAATCGGAATGGGCTATGGAGATAGTGGGATGGCTTATTCACATGTGCACCTGCAATTGCACGTTCATCCTTGCTTTCACCGTCACCCACTTTGAATTGACCTTCACACATGCACCCATGTCGGACAGCACAGCAGGCCATCTCTTTCCAATGCCCCATCCCCCTCACTCTTCCCACCCTTCCCGCACTCCCAACCCTTCCACACTCCCCACCTTTCTCAGGCGCGTCGACGGGGTAGGCGGGCATGCAGGATTGCAGGTCACCGCTGGGCATGAACTCGTAGACGACGATCTGCTCATGCTGCTCCGTGCGCGCATCCATGTGCACACAGTACCCCAGCAGCCGCACCAGGTGCGGGTGGTGCTTCGATGCCATCTGCTCCACCTGCCCATGCCACGTCATGCACCATGCCACGTCATGCACCATGCCACGTCATGCACCATGCCACGTCATGCACCATGCCATATCATGCACCACGCCAGGTGATGGTAGTTGTCAATGCAATGAACTTGCAGTGGGTATACCACTAGATCGACGGAAACGGAATACACCAACCTTTGTACCCACGTGTGTGGCCCGCATGCTGCTGCTGGGACTGCTGATGGGACTGATGCTGCTGATAATGCTGCTGGGACTGCTGATGGGACTGATGCTGCTGATAATGCTGCTGGGGCTGCTGCGCAGGGGAGGCAGGGAGGAAGGGACAAACGGGGGGGTGGGGGAAAAGATGCTATGAAGATGCTCCAAGTCATGCTGCTCATATTGTGAGGAGGAGATTTTGGAAGAAGCAGAGAAGCATACCCGAATTTCAGTGACAATGCCAGCTTTAGTTTTGTCAACGAACATATTAGAAGCTCTTCAGTGTCAATACCTGGTCGACCACCCTCCACATCATTCTCTCCTGCCTTCAGAGCCTCTTGCATCGCAGCACTCTCGTGATGCTGCTTGCGCTGTCGGTGTCGCCACACAAAGAACCCAACCAGGCCAACGAGCAGCACAAGACAAACGATGCCGACCGCAATCGATGCTATAACCTCGGTCGACATGCCTGGTGATGGATCTGTGAAGAGTGGAGGTAAATCAGGGGCCAGTGGAACAGGATGGAGTCGAGTGAAAGGGGATGCCATGCCATGCAGAAGCGATGTCAGCACACTGCTTATGGTTGAGAGACCACGAACGATCGGCATGTGGTGCAGTGGCATGGAAGCACTGGCGGTGGCGACATGCATATGGCTCGTGAAGCTCGGGCTGCCTTGAGGGAAGAGAGAGCCTCAAGGTGTTGGGTCACACACCTGCAGAGGACGGCTGGCCTGCGGAAGCTGATTCCGAGGAGGTGCCTGGCTTTGAACTTGGTGCTGATGATGGTGGTGGTGCTGATGATGGTGGTGGTGCTGGTGGTGGTGCTGATGATGGTGGTGGTGCTGATGGCGGTGCTGATGGTGGTGGTGCTGATGATGGTGGTGGTGCTGGTGGTGGTGCTGATGATGGTGGTGGTGCTGATGGCGGTGCTGATGGTGGTGGTGCTGATGATGGTGGTGGTGCTGATGATGGTGGTGGTGCTGATGGTGGTGCTGATGGCGGTGCTGATGGTGGTGGTGCTGATGATGGTGGTGGTGCTGATGGTGGTGCTGGTGGTGGTGCTGATGGTGGTGCCGTTGGTGGTGCCGATGGTGGTGCTGATGGTGGTGCCGATGGTGGTGGTGGTGGTGGTGGCGGCGATGGTGAATGTGATGGTGATCGTGATGGTGGTCGTGGTGGTGGTCGTGATGGTGGTCGTGATGGTGGTCGTGATGGTGATCGTGATGGTGGTCGTGGTGGTGGAGGGGACGGGGTGGAGGGTGGTGATGACCCGCCAGCAGACGAATTACCTGCACAATGGAAACCCAAGGAAGAGACAATGACACGAGAACAAGGGGGAATTGGATTTGGCTGGCTAATGGCAAAGGGAAGAAAGCACCAGACTTCAAGCTTCATACTCTCCTGAGACATACGCATGCAATCTCTCATGTACGCCTCTCCAGTGGTGAGGCTGTATGGTTCCTGCTTTCACCTTATGCTTTTGTGTCAGTGCGACGGCATGCACCACACCCACACGCCTCACCCTGGGTGCATGCCTATGCTGCAGCAGCGTCACCACGATGCATGCAAAGTGAGGTTCTGAGAGTGCTAAGCACCATCCTCGGCACATAAAGTGCTAAGCCCCTCTTGAGAGTACCAGCAGCTTTTGTGCTCATCACACCTCACGGGACTGCCTCTGCCTTGGGCGCTTTACCTGGCAAAACGGCAACTCATGCGCTGTGAGAGCAGCCCAGGGCGAGAGCAAGCACCCACAACCGCGCTCTCTGTCTGCTGCTTGCACTGCGCATGGGGAGGTGTGATAGACGCGCCGCTTTCTCGGCGCTCCACAGGCATGATCAAAATCTAATGGTGGGGGTGCGTACTTACCGGGAGCGCAGTAAGGAGCGCCGGCAGGGGTGGCGGTTTGGAAGAAGCCTTTGGGGCAGATGCAGCCCTGTAAGGCGTCGCCGCTGTCGAGGCAGACCCCCGGCCCACACGGATAGCCACTAAGTGTCGGGTCCCTGCACGACCGGGGCACCGGCGCTGCCTCGCACATACGTGGGGAGCGGAGTGGTGGACGAGTGCGGGGGAGGGAGGGAGATAGAGAGGGAGGGAGGGAGGGAGGGAGGGGGGGAGGGAGGGAGGGAGGGAGGGAGGGAGGGAGGGAGGGAGGGAGGGAGGGAAGGGGGGGGGGGGGGGAGGGAGGGGGGGACGGAGGGAGGGAGGGAGGGAGGGAGGGCGGGAGGGAGAGAGAACGGGAGGAAGTGAACCCAACTCACCAGGGAGAGGGAGGGCGGGTGGGAGGGAACCCAACTCACCAGGGAGGAGGGATGGAGCGGGGGGGACAGGAACTTATTGCCAACTCAGTACGACCTATACAGTCAGGGATCGCACCAGTCCATTTGGAGCACTGAGAAGAGTTGTAGGTGCAGGAGCAGTTGTAGACGGAGGAGGTGTTGTAGGTGTAGCAGGTGTACTCGCTAGAGGCGCACATCAGTTCGACCGCGATGCACGACAGCGGCAACCCCAGATGGTTGACGCCGCCAGGAAACTGTCGCGTGCGATGCGATCGGGAAAGGGAGGGAAGGGGGAGAGAGGAGGAGAGACAAGTTGGCGGCGGAAGGCGAGGCAACAGAGAATGTACACGATGTGATCACTTGCGCCTCAACAGTCGCAGAGACGCACAGGGGATCTCACCGTCGTGACGACGCGCGCGCGTACTACCTGTGCCGTTGCGAGGTGCAGTTGGTCGCGCGGCAAGAGCACGGACGGAAGGAGCAGTGCTAGTAGCACAAGGGGCAGGCGCGGCGCTGGTGGCACCGCAAACGAAAAACGACGTCGAGGGCGGCGGCGGCAGCATGTTGGGGCTCGCGCCGGAGCACCTCCGGGTCCGCGGCAGGGCTTCTGTTCCGCCATGTGCTGCTTCGCGAAGGTCACTCAAAAATCGTGAAACCACTGATACCGTCAACTGTAGGTGCTACTCCCACGAAAATACCTTTTTTTCACAAACAAATCTCACGCGGCGGAATCACAACTTTCTACAGAGTCTGTAGGCGCATCAGCCCGGGCATCTCAAACATGTTTCGCCCAAAAAGCCCCCTCCAGGTTACCCACAGCTTACCCTGGGGCGGGATACCCCAAGGTCCTCCTCATCTAGGTGACCCACGGGTTCCTGCGATGGGAGTGCAAAAACTGCGTCACTTCCGATCCGAACTGAAAGGTCCAGCGTGGCAAATTTTTTTACAGACCATCGCATCCCCACGTGCCGTACGACCCTCCAGATACACCCAGTTTCGTGTTTAGGCACATCTGCCGCACTCAGCCGTACGCAAAAGCAAGTTTTCTTCTAAAAACCGTTATGTACCGTTCACCTGGAGTGTCTTTGCCCGCCACTACCTGGGGTTCGGTGGCAAGCACCAGACCGCTAGGTTCCAAGCATACCTGCGCACTGTAGCCAGTGAATCTCATTGCCAGAGTGGCGAGAAAGAGGGTCTACAGACAACGAACGTTGAACTTGAGAGGACCGCGTGGAAACCAAACCTTTACCAGCCTTTCGGAACGAATCAAACGCGAGCCGTGTCCTCGCTGTGAAATGCATCGCCAACACCACCGAATTTTGCCTACAATAAATATACCTACACTAAATAAAACCGTCAAACATGTGTTACTGTATTGAACATCACATACTGTTATAGACATGTTTACTTTTGTTACATACAAACAATATTCTACTTCATATAATTTCGCAATAACGAATGCCATCGTATATAGCAGTTGCCAAATTCACTCCACATATTTTATTCGTTTAATTATAACTTCCGTATTCAATCAGAACATTTGAAGTATAGCCTTGCATAACAATTTTACTATTTGAGCACTTTCTAACATGCAAACAACGTGCACCCTACACGCAGCACGTTATAAAAGCTATAACACTCCCTTATGAGAGCTCCCCCACAAACCTCACTGTGCTCCTGCAACACATGAGGCGACAAAAACAAGAACAAACGAGATAGCACGATTCTTACCTCATGAATATGTGATATAGCGTGACAAGATCGCCTTCCGTATTCCGCACAGAGTGGTGACATTCAGATAGGAGGAGGGTGGGGTAAGAGCGAGGAATGTGTAATTGCGACAAAGCGAACGAAAAAAGAATGAAACAAATCCTGTAACAAGGTAAAGGCATTAGGAAACCTGGCTGCTGATAAAGAAAACGGTGACAATTAAAGCCATGAAGCAAACGAAATGAGTGGCGCTCATTTTGTTGTGAAGAAAGAGGAATGGATGAACTAGAACAAGGTTAGGTACAAGTAGGAAACCCTAGGAAACTGTACCCCTTAGTGTCTGCCCCACTATAGCCTAGACAAGCTATATGATAAATGTTTGACACACCCCCATAGGCAAAGTGGGGGAGAACAAGAGGTCACAAGTCCGGTCAAGCAAAGCACAGCAAGCTCAGGGTGGATCACAACGTCACCACACATTCCGAGCAAAAGTTCAAAGGCCACAAGGTCAGTTCACATGCATGATTATATATAAAGGTAAACATGCAGGTGCAGGTATATATAGATCACAGTACAAAGCAAAGTCAAGAGGTAAGCAAGTGAGGCCAGGTAGGTACAAGACCTAACATAGTACAGAAGCGCTGATGATCACAAGGCTGAAGTGCCTTGGTGAAGATATCAGCAGTGTTGGCCCGAGAGGCCACGTAAGCAAGGCGCAGCTGACCACGCTGCTGCAGCTCACGAGCAAGGAAGTACCGAAGAGCAATGTGCTTTGTTCTGTGCTCCAGTCTGTGCTCCCGACACAAGGCCAGCATGGCGTTGTTGTCTACGTACAGAACTGGAGGAGAGCGAGGCGGCTCTCCCAGGTCAGTCAGCAGGTAGGTGAGCCAGCGTAACTCCTGTGCAGCCATGGCCCCAGCGTAGATCTCAGCCTCACAGCTAGAGCTGAGAACAGAAGACGAGCGGGTAGACCGCCACGAAACAGAGCCGGAACCAAGGCTGAAGGTGTAACCCTGTGACGACCGCTGCGTAGCCAAGTCGACAACCCAAGACGCGTCTGCGTGACCAGTGAGGACCACTGGACTCCGCCCTCCAAGCACTAGCCCCATGCCCGACGTACTGCACAAGTAGCGCAACACCCTCTTCGCTGCAGCCATGTGCTCTGGTCGGTGTCTCCCAGGAGCAACATAGCGTGCCAAGATGCTAAGAGGGTATGCCAGGTCATGTTGAGTGCAAGTCATCAGGTACATGAGGCAGCCAACAAGCTCTATGTACGGGCCACTTGGCTCTACGGACTCATCCGAAGGCAGAGCTGAGAGCGAGTGGCGAGTAGACAGAGGAGTGGCCTGAGGCAAGGAGTACGTGAAGTCGAAGCGCTGAAGGACCTGCTGCACCATGTGTGACTGAGTCAAGGTAATGGTGCGCCGTGCTCTGTCCCGGGTGATCTGCAAGCCAAGATAGCTGCGCAGTTCACCCAGGTCTGTGCACGTGTGTCTCTTCTGCAGCTCGGACTTCACGTGGGCGAGTCCAGCAGTGTCAACAGTAGCAAAGACCAAGTCGTCGACGTACACGAGGATGTAGAACGGCGGCAAAGAGGTGTCGGTGCGTAAAAACAGCGACGGGTCAGGAGTGGAAGGAGCAAACCCAAGAGCCGCAAGCGTAGT